GTCAGGTCTTATATTTCAGTTTTCACCAATTGAACTTGATGCATATATGCTATCAGATAAAGCTCAAATTTCCCTCTTCTGCTGCTGATGTGCAGTTCTCGAAATACCACTTTGAGCCTACGCCACCCCTTCATGTGTTCTTAGCATCTTTATCTAAAGTCAGCTGAATAAAAATGGGTTATTTTTCAAACTCCAACTTATTCCGTTGATCAACAGGATTGTTTTATTATTAATTTCTTCAGAATTTCATACAACAATACAGTATGTTTTGGTTGCATTAAGCCCAAGACTTTTCCCATCTCTGTGAGAAATTATATGTAATAACTGTACCCACATGATCCTGTGAATTTTTGCTGTACTCTTTACTTGGGAAGACATAGAATATGTACAGAAGTGAAAGACAGCAAGGTTTCTAAGGTAAGGGGCACAGGCAGTAATGAACACACTCATGTAAACCTGTGCATATGGTAGAAATTATGTTCAGTTATTCTAATCAACTCTGTTTTTAAAATAGTTTCAGGATCACAGAAGAGCTAAGCAGACAGTAGGACTCTTCCACACACATACACCATCTGGGCCACCATCCCCTGTATAACCAATCATCCAGGCCAATGCAGATGAGAACTCACAAAGGCCTCATCCCTGGAGCTCCCTGCACAACTTGCAGACAGCTCCATTGAAGAGTCTCCTCTCTCAATAATTGTTCATGATTTGTAAAACTTCAGGAAAGGCTTGTGGGTCTGGGATCTTTGGAGCTTCTGAGCCTGGTAAGCTTTGTTGATTTCCGAAGTTGTCAGAACCTCCTCCTATGTCCAGGAGAACATGTTTCTTTTTGGGGGAAATAGCCACACAAGAACAAAACTATGGACTGTTATTATTAGATTTTTTTATATTTTGGCATTAAATATAGTCATTTCATTTTGATTTCTTCACCTCTAGTAGTGGCTACATGCCCTGAAATGCATGGCTGCATTCAGCATATTACCATTTTCTTAAGCTAATGATCAGCTCGTATGTTAAATAAGACGATTGGATAGGACTCAAGCATAAGTTAATTGTACCTGGAGGAATTTTAATACCTGTATCTCCTTTGTCAGAAATGCATCACAAGGTCATCCATTTCAAAAAGCAATATTCACAAAATTAAGTATAAACAGCTCATCAGAATTAGATAATTAGTTAGAGTATGCTTTGAGTATAATTACTGTTTGAGCCAAACCTGCAGGCATGACACTTGGTGCTATCAGAAGCACAGTGGTGACTGGAGGCAGGACTGGGTCCTGCTGGCTAACCAGCAGAAGGCCTGAGCCCATTAGCTTGTTGTTTTAATCAGTCTCAGGTGAGCTCTGCCTGTGGGCTGCTCATCCACAAGTCTGCAATTAGAAATGAGGTTGAGATTGAAGATTCAACTATTTTCTCCTATTAAAATATGGGAACACTTGGATGAGTGGGGTACATGAAACTTTATCTGCCATTAGAATTGGGTGGATTTCTGTTTATGTATAGTATTTCATTTGAAATACAAGTTGAAACCTGGGAAGATAGTTAAGTGGGAAAGGAATTTGCCACACAAATGTGAAGACCTGAGTTTGAATTCCTGAGAACACAGGTAAATCCAGACGTATGGATCCTATGGTGAGATGGTAAGCTGAGGCAGGGGAATGCCTGGAATCTTGTGGCTCAGTTTATCTGGAATACACAGTGGCCAACAAGAAGAGACTGAGTCTCAAACATGATAGAAGGTGAGGGCCAACACCTTAGATTACCTTCTGGCCACCACATGTATGCCTTGGCAAATGCACACACCCGCACTCACACACACAAATGCAAGAATAGAAAAGGAGGGAGAGAATTTGATAGTTAGAAAAGCAAAAGAAAATGTAGGAGAGAGAAAACTTCTAGAACAGTTGGTTCCAAAAAGAATCACTTCAGCTTTGTGATTTTGCTTTTGGAATGTGGTATACAGACAAGCATTTGAAGGGGGGGGGGGTAATCTAAACACTTGGCCTTCTTATCCCCAAAGTAAAATTTAGGGCTATGTGACTGGTACATTTTGCTTATGCTTTGGGGTAAAACCATCAGAACCACACATTTCCAACATTCAGGGGGATTTTATATTTTTAAGAGTCCAAAGAATGCTTCTCATTAAAGTGATTCACTCTCTGCTAAATCTTGACTCAGTACTCTCTAGAATAACATGAAGGTCAAATAAAAGCTATTTTTAATTAAAGTGAATGACTTGATTTCATAAAATTATAATGTTGTTTAATGACTGTGGGAGATTGTGTTCAAGGCAGAAAACTGACATTTTGCCTTAATCAATGCACATTTTATTAAAATCAATGTGGTCTATTATGTAAGGCCTATTGAACGTACATTAATAATGTCTGTTCTATAAAAAGTAAGCAACTCTAGTTTAATCGAGATTTAACCTGATGGTAGCTACAGAGTTCTTTCAACACACACTTACTGAGCACTCACAATGTCCTAGGCACTGGGCAGGAATCAATGGAAATCCCTCTCTCTTCCCTTCCAGTGTTTAGTGTGAAATAACTAGCTTGAGATTGTACCCTAGACTCAGGTACCCTTGATTGTACAGTATTTCACCAGCTTTTTAAAGAATCATTTCTACTACATTTTAAATGAGAATTCAGCCTGAGGAAGCATTGGAGGCTTATAGCCTCCAATGAGTACTTAATGAAAAGTAGAATAGCTTCAGATTCATGGTCTCAATTTGCTCTCGCGTGTGCGTGTGCGTGTGCGTGTGCGTGTGCGTGTGTGTGTGCATGTGTGTGTGTGTACATGCCTTCATGCAGACACCAGAGGACATTGGGTGTCTCTATCATTGGGAGGTGGGTGGGGGAGGGGTGATCCAAGCTAGGGATCCAGGCATTACTCCTTGTGCTTACACAGTAAGCATTCTCAGCCATGGAGCCATGTACCCAGGCCCCGATTATGAGTATCTATACCAAGTGGATAGCTTTGATTCTTCTGGAGTTTGTTCTCTTGTTACAAAAGACAGGCTTCTAGATGATCTTTGCACAATGGCTTCAAAGAAGGCTAAGGTGTTCAACTCGTGGAACCAGATGAGATGCCACAGCTAAGGTCAGTCCTTTGTTCTCTTCTTATTCAATTTTCTATTAAATTAAATTTTCTATTTCTCAGATCCTGAATCTGCACTCTTGTTAACATTTAATTTTATTCTACTATAGCTGTTTTTAATGGATGATAATTCAAAGTCTAGGGTTTAGTATTTAAGGAATGAAGTAAACGAGTAAGCTAAAAGTGGGTAAAGAAAAGAAAAAAAGAAGGAGATATTTGGGCTAGGGAGAGGCTGGCTTGGTAAAGTGTTTGCATTGTAAGCACATTGACCTGATTTCAGTCCCCAAAACTGATGTAAAACATTAACAATAAAAAAAATCCAGACAGTGGTGGCACACACCTTTAACTCGGGATGCAGAGGCAGGTGGACCTCTGTGAGTTCGAGGCCAGCATGGTTTACAGAGTAAGTTCCAGGACAGCAAAGGCTACAAAAGAAACCCTGTCTTGAATAAATAAAAAAATTAAATAAATAAACCCTGAACACGATGGCACATACTTGTAATACCAGAGCTGGAGAGGTAGAAATAAGGAGGCTGAGAGGCTTGCAGGCCAGCTAGCTTAACTCACTTGGTGAGTTCCAGGACAGTGAAGACCCTGTCTCAAATACTAAGAAAGGGCCTGAGGAATAACACTGAGGTTGTCAACTGCTCTACATGTGCGCGTGCACACACACACACACACACACACACACACACACACACACACACACAAGTTTTAGCATGCACAGAGAGCAGAATAAACAAATTAAAAATTTAAAAAATGAACACCTTATATCTTGTAGTGCTGCAGAGGACTGTGATGCAAATCAGTGCAGAACTATCTTTACCAGATTGGCTGGTGCACATGTCTGTGGGGCATTTTCTTGATTGCTAATTGTCTTAGTTTGCTCCTCTATTGCTGTGATAAAAATGCTATGACCAAAAGCAAAATGGGGAGGAAAGCATTTATTTTAGCTCACAGTTTATAGTCCATCATAGAAGAAAGTTAAAGTAGGAACTCACGGCAGGAATCTGGAGACAGGAACTGAAACAGAGGCTATGGGTGTTAGGATACAGCACGCAGGAGGCCTTGGCAGGCTGCAGTGTGGAGTGGTGGATAATTACTCAAACCATGTAGACATATGTCCATGTAAAAAGTTTATTTTGGGAGGAGGGGAGAAGGAATGGAGGGAGGGAGAAAGGAGAGACTGTGTGTGTGTTTGTGTGTGAGAGAGAGAGAGGGGGGAAGAAAGGAAGAAAGGAAGAGGAGGGAATAGAAAGTGGTGGGAGGATGACCTCAGGACACTGGGCAGGCCAGGGGATGATCTGCTTATTGGCCAGGATTCCAAGAAGTGAGTTTGAAGGCTAACGATGGGGACATACTGCTTGCTGGCTTACTCCTCATAGCTTACTCAGCCTGCTTTCTCAAGACACCCAGGACAACCTGCCCAGAGGTGACACTGCCTCCAATGTGTTGGGCCCTCGCACATCAACTGTTAATCAAGGAAATGCCATACAGACTTACCTACAGACAATATAATAGAGGCATTGCCTCAGTTGAAGTTCCTTTTCCAGAGAACTCTAGCTTGTGTCAAGTTGACAAAAACTAACCTGGGACACTAAGTGTTGGTTTTATGCAGTGCTTTT